CTACATACATACATACATACATACATACATACATACATACATACATACATACATACATACATACATACATACATACATACATACATACATACATACATACATACATACATACATACATACATACATATATATATATATATAAAAAATTTTATTTAATTTTTTTAATTTTAAAAAAATATATTTATGATATGATATTTAAAAAAATTGTAAAAATAAATGGAGGGATGTCCTTTTATGTAATTTTATTTACAAACAGCTAACTATAAACAGCTAAAGTTGCCAAACACTTAAAATTTAACTGCTAACAGAAACAGCCGGTCAAAACAACTAACTTAATCAGCCATTCAAATCAGCTAACATAAACAGCCAACAGCCAACTGCCAACTGCTAGTATCCAAACAAGGCCTAAGTCACACATGTTCTCTAATTCTAATCAAAATTTCAATTACACATACTTAAAAAAATATATACACACACCATAATATGAAAAGAAGAAAAGAATATGAAATACGAAATATGATTAAAAACAATATGCGACTACTTAGTGCAAAGTAAATACTGAGTATGAAAAGAGTCACTGACTAAAAGGCATAAAAGATTTTCAAAAGGCGATGTCTGGGTGCCTAGGCGAGGCGAGGCAAGCCGACACCTAGGTGAGGGATTAAAAAAAAGGTGAGGCGATACACTAGGCGAGTGGAGCACAGTGCCAGGACGCCTAGGCGATGCCGTGACAACTATGCTCTCCTTTTTGTATTTAGAATTGGATTTAGCATCATATAACTTCCAAAGAAATGCCTAATATTGACTGAAGAAGACGAGAGTTCCATTTCTCTTTCTTTAACTCATCTTCAAGTAATGAAAGCATTTATTTATTGTTTTCTGTATTGCATTATTTACTGTTTGCCATTTGAATATCAGCAGTTAGTATATCGTCATCCATACTCAAGCAAAAAGACATAATTTTGAAATGATATTATAAATATTTCTTAAATGTGATGCAGGTTATTGGATTGGTGGGTTTGGATTAGGAGAGAGTATGGAGGAACGCACTGCTCTTCTTAGTGCTGTTACGGTATGACTCTTGTTTTCTACCTCCGTTTCTATTTCATGTCAGGATTGTGCTGACAAACTAGACTTGCTTTGGAAATCTGAACCTCTATGTTGTGGAAGTCTAGTACTACCTCCCCCCCCCCCACCAAAAAAAAAGTCTTGTTTCGAAATTTATTTTTGTCCCAAAAAAGACTCCTATTCAACAATAGAAGGAACTTTTTCATTGAATTTTAAGTAATTATAAATAAGTGTTCCAAATTACCTGATTATGTTATATTTTGTTGAATGAACAAACACTTCAAAATTATGAGAATGCTTGATAATTTATAAAAGTTTTACCTTACCAATATTTAAAATTTGTAGTTTGATAAAATATAACCTTTCAGAGGACGTATGTAGCAATATTGTTCTAGCGCCCGAGAACTCTTTTGTGCAAATGCATCTGACATGTTTTTTTTGTGGGGATTCCAATGATGGCTATATCTTCATTATGCCCATACCATAGGCTTTAGATTAACATAGCTATTCATCCTTTTGGAAATATCATGCTGGTTGAACGATGTACATGTTGCAATAGAGTTACATGTTTGCAGATTCACTTATGAAGTCTGGTTGCAGGAATCTTTACCAGAAGAAAAGCCACGACATATATGCGGGCTCCAACTTCCAGGTTTGTAATATGATTTAAGATCTACCTATGATTTAATATGTCCTTATCTTTTGGTATGTATTTGTAACAAGAAAAACTTATGACACAGATCATATTCACGACTATAAAGTTTCAGTGCTGTGGCAATTGTTTTCAATATTATATCTATTTTGTTTTAACTATAATGATCTCGGTTCTAAAGTCCCTGCTTACACTAGCTTCCCTTAGCCATCTACGTCTTTTCTCGAATTGACCCGCCTAAATCTTCTTAGACCCTCCCTGACCCTGCACAGGCCCATCATAGCTGTTAGAATCCAGTCTAACACCCACATAGTGCCTTCTACTTTTTAAAAAGCTACTCCCTCCATCCCGGAGTATTCCACCTACTATTCCTTTTTGAGCTGTTCTGGAGTATTTGTTCACTTTCCATTTAAGACAAATAAATGTCATACAATGTCCATTTTACCCCTACATCATTTGCTCACTTCCAGACCACCCAATAAAAAAAGATTGTCGTGTTTGTATTGATATCAAAAGAAAGAAAAAAATATGAGACCTGAATTTTTGCCTCGTGAGTGGCCCTCGATGCTGCTGCAACTTTAGTGTTCTTCACTTTTGTTTTTCCAGTGACCTCCAATACCACATCAGCCTGATTTGCTGCCTTCTAGCTTTCGCTTGTTTTTGGAGTAAAAACATGCAGTGGTCATTTTTGTTGCTGTCGATGCGGCACACATCTCACATCTACCCCCGTTTTGACACCGATCTAGAACTTCTTTTCTTTCCTAAGCTTGGAGATGATTCAATCTTTTTTTGGTGCCACATGCACTAAGCTCCCAGTGGCACACACGCCAATTCATCTGCCTCACACAACAATGACAACAGAGGTTGCTTATCTAAGTACAAATACTTTAATGATGGACAAAACTTTCAACTCGACCAGGCACACGAAACTTCCTATTACTTCCAGGCTTCAACTCCTCCTCTGTACCCAAGTAGCGTGTCTTGTCCAAGTATTGGTCTCCACTCAGCCCATTCCAGACATGTGCGGGGCAGCCAGTGGCGCTATCCATAGCCTGGAATACACCAAGTGTGGGTCAAGATCTCCATGGACTGAGTGTCTGGATCGACATATCTTCTCTGCCGACTGGGCCTTCCTAAACTTGATGCATTGTTGAGATGTTGCTTCTTCTTCACCCCGACGCTCTTTGGGCTGATGTATCGCTTTTACTCCAACAAAGTTACAACAACCCAGTAGGATCCCACAAAAGTATGGTCTCGGGAGGGTGTGTATGCAGACCTTACCCCTACTCAAAAGTAGAGATGTTGTTGACTTGTTTCCTTGCTCCAACAAAGTTATTTTGCAAAAAGTAATCATGGGCAAAACTGTCCATTCAACACCAATAGCATTACCCCAGTACCTAAAAGGCTCGCGCCCATTGCGAGGTAAGGGGATCGGGTGTACACAGCCTGACCCTATGTTTAAAACATAGAACGACTGTTTCGAGATGACCCATGATGAGTGTCAAAATTTGCATTGACTAACTGCTACGTCACTACATACCCCAGAGCCAAAAAATAGTGAATCTTTGGCTCCAACTGAGATTATGGAAAAGCAAAACTGTCCCGTTCATGCACAATTTTACTATGGAAAATGAATCAACTATTTAATTACAGTCATAGGAAAGTGAACAACTAAAAAAAGGCAGGGGGAGTATTATTTGACATGTATTTAGGTTCTTCTATGAGCTTTTATGTAAAATACAAACAATTTTCTTCTTGCAGAAGAGGTTTTGCAGGGAGTTGCAGCAGGCATTGATCTATTTGATTCCTCGTACGAGCTACTATTTTCTAGTTTTCAGATTGGTCACACTCATTCAATAAATTTATTGCTCTCTCGTTTGACATCTGAATTGTCCCGCAGTTACATTTTTCACTTGACACTTGGAGGCTTCGCCCTCACCTTTCCACTCACCTTTCCACTTGAGAGGACTGAAAGACATTTAACTGATCATATGCCAAGCAGCAATACAGGCTGTGATGGAACAAAGATCAACCTGAAATCAATCATTTACAGGTGAGGATATTAGAAATCTTAAGGGTATGTTTGTCGGCTAGTTTTGGAAAGGATGATCTCTTTTACTCCCCCACCCACCCCCCAAACCCTAAAAAATGGTTATGCGATACTTTTACACCCAAAATCATTCCAGACACAGACCTTCTAAAGGACTAATGAGATGCCAACATCATAGTATGGTATTCAAAACAATCATATGACGGCGATGAGTGGAAATAGTTGTTAATAGTCGTGTCTCATTGTAAAATATTTATGGTAAAATCAGATCTGTATGAATTAATAATAATAATAATAATAATAACAACAACAACATTAATGATAAAAAAAATCTGAAATGTAATATATTTTTCTGATTGTGACATGGCAGGAAAGATACATCGCCGATTGTTGACAAGTGTAACTGTTTTACCTGTCAGAATCATACAAAGGCATACATCAATCACCTGTTTAACGTTCATGAAATGCTGGCTCAGATTCTACTGGAAATGTATGAATATTCTCTCACTGCGTACCCTTATACTCATCTGTTAATGTTATGCTGATTTTCTATTCTGATGATTTTCACATGCACGATTAATATATTCTTGTCACATTTGGTTCCTCAGCCTATTTTCCCTCGTTAAATATGAACTGGAAATTTCACGAGAAAATAAATATAAATGTCATACCTGCCCTTCACAAATAAATTAAAACGCCCTTGCAAATGTATAATGAGACGAAAATTTAATAGTCATGCATCAGAAGTGGGAAAAGTGAAACTCAGTGATCAAAGTGCTAGTATCTTAACAGTAGGTGGTAGTAATTGTTTTATACCTGGGTTGACCTTTACTATCCAAAATTTCCACTCTTGGTGTACTATTAAACTTGTCACTTTTAATCACATTGTTGCGATTTCACGTGAAAGGAAACAAAAAGGTCATGCCATTCAAATTGATGAAATGCCTTTGCAAGTGATCCATGAAAAGAAGTGAAAGTAGTGAGATTAAAAGTGAAAAATACTCTTTCCGTTGGGCTCTTTGTGCACGGTTCTTTGTGATATGTGGTTAGATGTAATTAATGCTAGTAAGTGGAGATATTAAATGAGGGTGGTAACTGGTAAGCACCTTAACCACCTTTACTTTAATCAAGTGAGATGGCATATTAAACTTCCTTTGTCTCTTACTTTCAACGAAGTTTTGGTAGTAAGTGCAGCAATGCATCAAGTGTCTAACGAAAACAATCTCTCTATATTTTAAAGGGATAACACTGCATACATCTTGCGTGACCCTTAGACCCTAACAATGTTGGGATTATACTGGGTTAATGTTGTTTATAATTGTTTGTTTAGGGATGCGCCAAAAAGGAAAATATGAGTGCTACCGAGAAAACCTGAACTGACCTTTGTTTTTGTATTTGTTAACAATTTTTTTCCAGACACAACACTCATCATTATATGGGATTCTTCCGTTCCATCAGAGAGTCAATCAAGGAAGGAACCTTTGGGCAATACCGGGAGAAGTTCATCACAAGCAGGCGGAGCCATCTTATTCCTCCTGCTTCAGCTTTAGCAAACTGACTTCCAGTTACCTTTGGGATGCTGTTTTTGACTTCCCCAGGTCTCCAAAATTGCTGTTTTTGAAAGCCAACTGCATCGGTAATTGGTAATATCTATATTTTCGAGTGAAAGTAATACGAATGATTAGGAAACATTACACCCTCTTCGATTAGGCCATTAAGAATGATGGCGGGTACTCGGTCTGGTAATGTCATAGTACCCGTTTCCGTTTGGCAACAATTTTAGTTTTTAGCATCGATATTTAATGCTAGTGTGATGATTTACATTGGTAAAAAACGTAAGTGCAAATCTTTCTAAATGAACTAATATTTTCTACCTGCGTAAATCGTTAAAAATGTCAATGCATTTCTTTAGGGTATAACTTGAGGTACATTTTTGCATGGTTGAAAACTTTATTTCAACATTTGGTAGTGCATATCATTCCCTTCCATTCAAAAAAATGAGACTTTCACACCATGAATGACACCGATCGAGGTTACCACCTCCTTGACTGTGTAACACCAGTGGTACAATAATACATGATGTGAGAGTAGAGCATGACTCTACATATAATAATCACAACTCCTAAGAAAACAATCAAAACATGGCTTCTATACATGTAACTATATATCTTTTGATCCCAACAATATTCTACAATACAGAGTATTATTACTCCAACTTGGATGAAGATTACAATATCTCATATGACCTTTCTGCCCTCGCCATGCATATGATAATAATAACAAGTAATAATAACCCTATTGCAAAAGATCTCATGATGCATGCACAAAAAAAGTAGGAAGATGATGCTCTAAAATGGTCAACAACTCACTCCCTTGCATTGCATCGTCGCCTCCGAGTTGGGCCCCGCCGAGCCTCTTCACCGCCTCCGCAAGCTCCCCTCTTAGCCTTTGCGGCAACAGGCGGCTGCCGGTCTTGACACATTCTCTATACAGTGGCAGGTACGCTATCGCGACCCTAAGAGGGGCAGGAAGATCCATGAGACATATTGGGGACTCGCCCGCTCTCATGACCCTAACCAAGTTCAGGTAATGCTCTTCCCCTCGTCTCCTCCCCTCCAGCTTGGCAGCCTCAGACCAGTGGTCCCGGAGGAATGACTTGAGCTCCGGAGCCACGTCATCACCGGACCTTGCTATGATGTCAGCAACGTCATATGTGGCAGTGGGGTCACCCAGGAAGTCTGAACCGAGGAGGAAGGCTACCCCGTCAAAAGACCTATATTCCAAGGATTTCAATTTACAATTATTCGCTATGCCTTTTTCCTTCTTAATATTTGCAAATTAAAAACACCACCATACCCGCCACTCCGTTCACCGGCAGCCTTGAGGATCTCGACGCTGAGGGCAGCAAGGAAAGGTCGGGGGACGTGCGGGAGGATGTAAGCGGCGATAGCAATTTGACTGGCGGACGTGGCGGCTGCGAGGGCAAGGCAGAGCTCAATGTCTCTGCAGCCACGGCTGAGGAACCACTCAACCACCTGCATGCATCCCCTCTCTGCGGCTCTCATTAATGGGCCTAAGAAAGCCGCGGCATGCCCTTCTTCCACCAAGCATTCCATTGTTCCTATTTTACAGTAATGTGAAGCGAATCCCAATGCCAGATCAACGTCAACGTCTAGGCTGTTCCTTTGAGCAATCTACATAAATAAAAAAATGATGGATGAATTCCAATAATGAAGTAGATATGTAGTATATGAGTATATAGGATCCTTTCTCTGGACCCTAGGCGCTACAACTAACACAATATCCCTAAGATTGTAAGATACAAGTTTTTAATTACGTTTTTGTTTGGTTTCCGGGAAAAGTAGAGAAGTGATAGATGAGTGAGAACTTGATGGAAACGATAGAAATAGTAGAAAAACAGAGTAGATTTTGTGGTGTTTAGTACGAGAGAAATGGAAAGAAAATGAGAAGGAATGCATTTTTCACCTATTCATCTTCATAAGACGGAAAGTTTTTTTTAGAAAAAGTACGGGAGCACCATTTTCATTTCTCTCCTTCACATTCATCTGTTGTGAGCCAGGGATCTCTTGGAGACAAACTCTAGCTCTAATTCCGGGGTAAGGTCATGTACACTCCCCTCGCCCACCCTCACTAGATCCTATTTTTTGAGGGACTTTATTGGGTTTGCTTTTGTTGTCTTTCCCATTTATCTCCTCACCAAACAACAGAATTTCTCGATACCTCTAATATTGTTTCACCTTAACCAACCAAAGGTATGTGTAAGGCAGCTAATAATGAGAAATAGGATGGCAGTTACCTGCAACAAAATGCGTACAAGCTCTGTGCTACCAAAACGTGAAGCTTCAAGAAAACACTGGTTAACATTGTCAGCACCCCCTTCCACTAGCATCCCCAACAGTCCCTGGATCCCATTTGCAGATGAGCCAGAAGCCCATCCCGGCTCAAACGAACTAGAGAAAAGGGTAAGGGGAAAGCATGCCGCATCAAAAGCTTCAGTGAAGTCTTTTCCTGTGAGGTTGTTCCCGACCAGATCTAAAAAGGTCTTGAAAGCTGATAGCCGCAGTTCTATCTCGCTAGCCGAGATATGAGCTACACTATCACCCTTTCCTTGGCAATGTGAGTGGAAACCTATGCATTTGAGAGCCCATTCCGTGAACTTCCGAACCTTTGCACCAGCCTCTGCCTTCAATATTTCATCTCCGTTGCATTCTTGCAATCGCTCTTGCAATCTAGTGAGAATGCAATTGTAAAAGTCCTTCCAGGTCAGAAAAACAAGTGACATAAATATACAAGTAAATCTTATGTTAGGTAGCAATAGTGCTGCAGAAGATGTTGTAGCTTGTATTGTTTTCATTATTTGAAGCATATATATATATATATATATATATATATATATATAATAAATCGGATGACAAAGTCTATGTTAAAGTTACTATTTTAGACATGGATAATCTATGACCATGTTCATTTTCCATGAAAATTGTGCAGTTACTCTGTTCTACATTATATGAGCCAAAAATGTGAATTTCAATCATATATGGAATCTTACCTTTGGGCCATAAGAGTGACAGTATCCGAAAGGCTCATTGTCCGGCTTTGGCAAGCACAAACGCAGGAAGCAAGGAACGAAGTCCTGAGGACTGCCCGAGTAAAATCATACGCACCGTTAGAAATGATCTTCTTAATCAACACAGTAATACCATTCAACTCCTGCTGTGAGCTCAAAAACCAAACTGAATCCAGGGCAATGCACAGTGCACCGTTCAGCGTCTGTGGGTCCGCCAAAACAGCCAATCTCTCCGCACGCTCCCAGTTATGGGAAGTCACGGCATCCTGAAACAACCTCCCTATCTCAATCCTATCTTGTTTACTAAGCTTCCTCTCTGCCCCGGATTTCTTGTTCCCATTCTCCTGTTCAAAGCCCCAATCAGCTAGCCCCGAATCACATTTCTTAACCCCACATATACAAAATGATCCTCCTGAAACCCCAGTCTTGGAGGCCGAAACAACATCTCGGCCATTAATTCTTCCTGTTTCCACTTCCATTCCACAGCAGTGAGTCTCCCTCACATTACATTGATAATCCGCATTGTTAGTTTCCTTTTCTTCTTCCATTTCTTCCAATCACCCAAAACAATGAGAATCAATTCCTCCTAGCAGAAAGTCATATTAATGGAAACATAACAACAACAATGACAACCTCTTGAACAATAAATAACTCCCTTAAAATAAAATTTAGGAAAAAAAACTCTCAAACAAAAAACCTAGTCATTCAACAGAAATCCTCATATTCAGAGATAAATAATCCCCCGGACAAATCCCCACACAATTTAATTGAAATATGTATGAAGTCCTCAAAAAAAGGAAAGAAATTGAAGCAGGGCTCAGATGAGAAGCACCACCACCGCAGCCGCCGGCACCTCCATCATCGGAACCCTAACTGAAGAGCCCCCTTTTCAGAATCCCAAACAATCAAATCCCCCGGAGATTAAACCTATGAAACACAACAGAAGATTGACATCAACCGTCGCATGAAACAGAACAACAAAAGAAAGAAAGAAAAAACGAAGAACATATAATACCCTCCCCTTGAAGGAGATTCAAGGAGCGAAAATCCAAAGCACAGAAATCGGAGAATCGCATAAAAAACGTACTGCGAGCAATACCGGACATTAATTCGCCCCGGAGAAGAGCCAATGAAATGCGACGGAGCACAGAAAACAACAGAAAAGAAGAAAAAGAAAAAGGAGTGTAAAGCAGAGAATATGGATCGATGAGAGGGAATCGAATTTCCCTATTCTTCTTCAGTGCAGTGGTTACAGAATGACTGATTGGAGACTAGAGAGCAGCGTGAGTGAGTGGGTACGCAGATTCGCTAATTATTACGTACAAAAAGTTCAAGCCAACAAAAGATACTCCCTCCTTTTTTCAGTAAAAAGTTGCAAATGGGGGCTGCGCATTTGGCAATGCAAAAGGGTGCCAACCCTAAGATTTGAGTTCGATTTCTCGTAACTGTGCATTGAGAGGCAACTATGCTAAATATAGACTCTTAGTGCCACCATTTGGTTCTTAGTTTTTGCTAACAAACCACGAAGACTATCTTTAACTTTGTGATCCGTGGTTTTCGCCTTAAAGACTTGGTTTTTATATACTTCCTCTGTCCCACTCTCTTTGTCCACTTATCTTTTAGCACATCATCCAATGTACTTCTTTAATCCATTTTATCTTGGAATTTGTATATTAAAAAATTATAAAAATTATATATTAATAATCTATATGTTAAGACAAATCAAACAAGATCACACATGACTATATTTAGGCTTACACATTGAGAGAATTTGATGAGTCAAAGTGTTTAGATGAACAGTTCCAAAAGTCAAAAGTGGACGAAGAAAGTGGGACGGAGGTAGTACTTGATTTTTACTTCAAAAACATTATATAAGTGTTCCCAATAGTTGATTTCTAATTTGGAAAACTTTGATTTTTGACATCGATTTTTGGCGTTGGCTGCTAAATCTGGTTTATGGCTTCCATACCAAACAACAATGTAAAGATCACTACAGGGCAGTTTTGGGAATTGGGAAGGCTTGGAAATTTCAATCCTGGCACCAAATCTTGAGCATCGATGTAGTGCCTTGTACAGGGCTATTCTAGGGTAGGTTTGGGAATTACATTTGAGTCTTAAAAAGCGAGGTACAAACATGAACAACGATGTTCATACTTGAGGTTGGAGTTATTTAAGACAAAATCTTTTCTTCTTTAAAAGTCAACACCCTAAACAACAACGTAGGCTTTTGTACATGGCTGTTAATACAACCGTTAAGTTA